ATAAGCCTGCGTAGTGAATGTGTAGCAAAACAGACATTAGAATTGCAACCCCTGTGTTTGTGGTGGGCAGGTGTGGCCCTGTGGCCCCAGGGGCCTGCTGCGGGTCTCTATGCTAAGGAGCATGCTGAAATGCATTTGCAGAACTTAAAAGGTGATGAGAGATCAGCTCAGAGGATCCCAGCCCTGGCTATACATCAGAACCACCCAGAATACTCTGAGAACTACAAATAGGGACAATGAGTTCCAAAGAGGGGCAGGAAGAGGGAATGGACTGCCTAAAACCCAAGTTATTAGAAGCAAAACCAGGACTGGATCTCTAATCTCGGATTCCTGGTCCAGTTCTTTAAGAATCACTTTCTTATTTAATGCCATGGTATTTTTTGGGTTCCTATTGGCCTAGCACTAGCTTAATGGCAATGCATGCAACAGATGAGTCCCTGCCCTCCTGGTGCCTCCACATTATCTGGAAGGTGTGGGTAGCAAATATGGGGGTTGCACACAGTCCCTGAACGTTAGATTTCACTAGAAATCTTGAGCCTTGCCCCATACATTCTGCCGTGGAGTGCCCCACTGCGTGCCAGGCTCTGTGTCTGATGGATATGATGGCAGGTGTGAGGCACTCTGTTGTTCAGCCATGTCTGCCTCCTGCACCCGAGCCACTTCTTGATATATGTATAAAATAGGCCCTGGTCTTAGTGATGCCACAGTTTGCACCTTTTTTCTGATGATTTACAGAATCTCAGGTCTCGTCCTCATCACTCTTTAATGGCCCTAAAGGGGGTCACCAGCAGAGATAGCCCAGGGTTAAGGTGCAGAACCCCAACTCTATCTAATTTATGCTTAGATCTTGGGAAAGTTCCTGAACCTTTCTGGGCTCATTTTTCTCATTGGGAAAATGGGTGCCATGATACCTGCTCTGGTTACCTCACTGCATCGTAAGAAGGCCCCAAATCACAGTGAGAGGATGCGCGTCAAAGTGCTTAAGTGGTTAAGGGTCCTATGATGGTGATGAGTGGTTTGAATTGCTGTAACAGCCAACACTGAGTGTTCATATTGGGCCAGGAGCTGTTCAGCTATAGCCTATCAAACAAACTTTACAAGAACTTTGCAATCTTCGTTTCCCTTTTTAGGGATGAGGAAATTGATGCCCTGACAGGTTCGGTTACTTTCCTAAGGTCTGACAACCACTGACAAAGCTAAGGGTCAATACTGGGCTTGCCGGCTGGAGTTCATATGCTTAACCACTGTGCTTTACTGCCCACCTGGGTGCAGAACACTTAGATTCTGGTCCTAGCTGTGCTTTCTAATTTGTTGGGTAAGTTTGCCCATCTATAAAATGGAATGGAGAAGAAAGTCGTTTTGTAAAACTCTGATGTCTAAAGGGTCAGAGGGTCTGTTCTCAAATGGTTTCTTGCATTGTATCGGCCCCAGTGGTCCCCTCCCCACCACAGAAAGGTTTGGAGCCATCCAGGAAGACAGTTTAGGGCTTAATGGGGGGAATCCAATGGAGCAGAAGCAGAAAGCCTGCAGAAGAGAGGACACACACACATGCACACTGCGTCACACCCAGCAGCTCCTCCAACCTGCGCTGTGATCGCCCCAGGCTCAGCCCTGCTTCCCTGGATTACTGATTGAGGTGATTCTTCACCAGAGCCATTAAGGCGACCAATCTATGGTCATCAAATAGCTCTGGTCCCATTCCCTGAGCACTTCCTATCTACCGGGTGCCATTCTGACTACAAGGTCCAATGGATCCAGTCAGTCCCCTTCTCAAGGAGTTTGCTGTCTCCTGGGGAAGACAGACATGTAAACAGCTAATGCTAATGCAAGTATACATGAATATGCGATAGGCAGAAACAGGCTTCGTGCTCTGGGAGCAAAGAGGGAGGATTTGCTGGAAACCCTGAAAGTGGTGTAGAGAGTAGGGGAAGGGTGAGAGTAGGGGAAGGAACTCTACTGAAGGAACAGTGTGAGCAAAGACATGAGGTATGAAGGGCAGGTCTCTTTCTCTGAAGGGCAAACAGGGCAGGGAGGTTAAATCCAAGCAAGTCCCAAGGGAGACAGAGAGAGAGATGAGGATGGAAAAGAAGGTTGGGGGTTGGGGCCAGACCATGGGGGCCTTGAATGCCAGGATGAGGAGTGAGATGGCCTGTGGAAGGAAGTGTGTGAGCCCTGGGGACTTTTACATGGGGCCAATTGAGGGGGTGTCCTGACTCATACCAAGAGAGGACCGTGCCCTGAGTTCACCCTTCAAACAAGCAGCATCTTACCCTTGAAGCTTTCCCAGCTTGACTGCTTCCAGCTCTGCCATCCTTCCCTCCCCCAGCCAGTCCTATAAGTGGATCCAGATGGTCATTCCTATTTTAGGTCGGGGTGTGTGTTGGGGGAGGGGTGGCTATGAGCTCTATCAATCGTTTCCTGAGCTCTGTTAGAGGAGCTTCTTCCAGGACCCTGCTGTGATCCTCTGAGCCTGGAAGGGACTGTTAGTCTTTGATGGAGATTTCCCATCTGTCTGTGGGTGATAGGGGTGGCAGCAGCACAGGAGGCAAGGGCACAGGCCAGGGAAGCTTCAACATTGGGTAAGAGAACCTGGGTGACGTGTACATGTGGGAGGGGGTCCTGTGAACGGGCTGCGAAGGGGAACAAGCCTGGGAGAGAGGCTCCAGAGGAGTCGGAGAAAGAGCTGGTTTCTCCCTCCAGGTACCTGGCCCTCCTCATGCCCCTGCTTCTGCAGCTGCCTAGGCCAAGGAGCTAGGGCTCTCTGGTCAGACCCTACTGAGCACTGTGCCTACCAACATCCGTAGGTCCCTTAAAAATCTTGGGGCACTGCAAGGTAGCAGCTGACAAGCTAGGTTCCTGCTCTCAGACTGTCTATAGCTAGCATATGATACATACCAAGCTTATAACTATTTGCCATTCATTCAGTTTAGCAAATATTAAGCAAATGCTATGTGCTAGACACTACTAGGCATTGGGTTTACAAAAGTGAACAAGACAAATACAGTGTCTGCCCTCAAGGAGTTTCCAGCCTAGTAGGGGAGTCCAACAATACACAGCCACAAATGTGCTACAAAGGAAAAGAACAAGGTATTCCAGGGGAGAGTCACAGGAGCTTTCCAATTTAGATAGGGAAGCCAAGGAAGAGCTCTCTGAGAAAGTGACATTTAATCTGCTACTTGAAGGATGAATGAACGTTACCCAGTTTTGGAGGGAGAAAGGGCATTTCAGGCAGAAGGGAACAGTGTGTGCCACGTCCATGGGGTATACAAGAGCATGGCACATGAGAGGAACTGAAAAGAGGCTGTAGGACAGTGAACAAGTTAATAAAAAAAAAGGGCATGATGCAGGGCCTTGTAAGCATGGTATATTTGTGTTTTATCCAAAGTACAATGGGAAAACACTGAAGGTTGTCAGATTAAATGTGGTACTTGTGTTAGTACAACCAAATTTGTGGCAGGCCCTAAGAAAGACTGACTTTGGTTGTGTATTCATCCCTACAAACAATAAATGTTTAAAGGGCACCCACCAGCCCTTTGCTAGAATTATGGGTTGACAGTGATGGCAGAGGAATGTCTAAGGTATAGACCTTCCTCGGAGACCCTCCAGAAGAGATGGGACAGCTATAGTGATTGAATCAAGATGTGATTTATTCATTCAACAAACAGGCACTGCACACTTGATCTATTCCATACATGTGCCAGATGCTGGTTGTTGCCCATCAAGGATCACACACATGGGTCACAGGAGAGGCATAAACATACTCAAAGAATTTTGAGTGGGTTAGAATCATTTTCAGCTGTGATATCTGTGAGACCTTTATAAAACATCCAGTCGTTCTGTAAATCAGTAAACATCTAGTGGGCATTTGCTCTGCACTAGGAACAGTGCTAGCTACTGAAATTAAGGAACTTAGAGTTCCATAACAGAGATAGACATACCCCTCCAAAATGCATTAAAATATTAGGTTCTAAAAACAGGAGAGCAGGCTTTCTATAGATCAGTGTTGAGGGAGGGTAATTCAATGGAAGAAAAACCTTCCCCAAAAGGCATATCTCCCACCTTCCTCAGCGGATTTATCCATACCTCCCACTAGCATGGTTTTTAGCTGCTGCCTTCCTTCTTTGTCCCCCCATTTTCCCTTCCCACACCAGCAGATTCCATTTTCTTTGTCTATCTTGGCATCCGTAAAAAAGCCCAAAGAATCCAAGATTTGAGCCTGGCTTCTTTATAGTGTGTGATCTCAGATAATTACTTTAACTTCCCTGAGCCTCAGTTTTCCCATTTGTACAATGAAGGGATCGGATCACATCTAAGGTATGTGATTTACTCCAGCCAAGGTGATATTCACACTCCTGCACACTGCTCTGCAAGGCCTTTCTTTGCACGGCTGCACGCATCCCTCCAGCCCCATCCCCGAGCCACCTGGCGAACATCAAGGCTCAGCTCAAATATCTTCAGGCAAGTTTCCCCTATTTCTGCACACACGCCACACATTGTTTTAGTCTATCCTTCCTTTATGCTACCACTACCTCGCAAGAGACCACAGAATGAAAAAGGGAGAGAGACTTGGCTTTGAGTCGTGGCCACTTACCTCACCTCTTAAGCCTCAGTTTCTCACTTGTAACTTGAGGGAAATACCTAAATTCGCACGTCCAAGCAGTTTATGGGGATTAAAACAATGTACGTCAAGTCAAGTGCGTGGCACCTAAGTCGCGCTCAATATATGGAGACTGTACCACACCTCTTAGGAGCCCTCAGCGTACTGAATTACAGAGTTCTAGGTCAGTCTCCCGCGCTAGGCTGCGCGCTGCCTGAGGGCATCCCTTTCGCTGCGGTTCAGTGCTAGCGCGAACCCCCGTGGCTGGCGGGCGCAGAATGAGGTGGGCCGGGCCAAGAAGGACGCGGCTCCTATTCCCGGCGGGAAGGCCAAGCCTGGCGGACCCCACCTTCCGGAAGTGACGCCACCGAGCGACCGGCGCTGCATCAGGGGCAGGCCGGAGCGGGGCGCGCGCAGCATGGCGGAAGCGGAAGGGAGTTCGCCACTCCTGTTGCCGCCGCCGCTGCCACCCCCGCCCGGGATGGCGGAAGTGGAGGCGCCGACGGCAGCCGAGACGGACAAGAAGCAGTTTAGCTGTGCTGGCGGCGGCGTCATGGACGTGGAGCGGAGCCGCTTCCCTTACTGCGTGGTGTGGACTCCCATACCGGTGCTCACGTGAGTCTCCTCCGGCGTCCGCCCGGGGACTGGGAGAGCCGGGCCCGCGTGGCGTCCTCCGGCGGCCCGGGGCCAGCCTCCGGCCCCGACACACAGCAAACCCTTCCCACGGGTCCGCGGTTCACCAGTACCCCGCCACCCGCGCGGTGCGAGCTCTGCTGGTGAATGGGACAAGCTCCCCTCCCTCATTACACCTGGTCTGATCTGAGAGAAAGACAGTTGTTGACCGCGGAAAGGTACTGAGGCTGGGAAGCTAAGGACCTGTGGGCGTACAGAAAAGGGGCCCCTAACTGGGTGTGAGAGAGACATCTTCATTCACTCACTGGCTTATTCATTCGTTAAACAAATGATTGCTGGTCACTTCCTATACGCAAGACATCCTGCTGGGTCTGGAGGCAAGAGTGGGAGTTTGATTGGGACCACACCAACTCCTGGGATGTCGTCATTGGAAGGGCCCCCAGAGATCTGGGAGTCCAGTCCTTTGTCTCACAGATGAGGCTGAAGATCACACACCATCTCAGTTGCAAAGCGCATTTAGGTCCCAGGCTGTCTGCTTTCCAGACCAGGGTTCTTTCTATGGCATCAGCCTTTGTCAGAAGAGAAAGCAGGTGCTCCAAAACTGCTGGCGCCTTTTAGCAAGGAGCTTGGGGACGAGGAGGGGGGAGTAGGGAGCTGGTTTGCCCTCGTGCTTCAGCCTTGACAGCTGATAATAACCACTCCTCACAGTGCTGGACAGTTGGCCAAGCTCTTTCACACCCTTTTCCTCTGAATTCCACAACCACTTTCTAAGGCAGGAATTATATTCTCGGATGATGAATTTGTACCATTAAATGTCTTGATCATGTTCACATGACAGTAAACAAAAGCATCCCAAACTCCGTTTTCTGACTCCATAACTTGCTCTCGTTCGATTACATCCTGTCCTCTCTCACCTGACGAATAGATTTGTTCCCTGTATCAAAAACAGCCAAGTGGTGTGGAGAAGGGATCATTTTTGTTCTTATATGTTGCTGATCCTAAAATGAGCTTAATTCTTGTGTTATGTTAAAATACTTCAGTTGTTCTGTTTTCAAATGCTTATGCATTTGTTTAAGAACACCCAAGTCTTGGACTTCCCTGGTGGCGCAGTGGTTAAGAATCTGCCTGCCGATGCAGGGGACACGGGTTCGATCCCTGGTCCGGGAATATCCCACATGCCCCGGAGCAACTAAGCCCGTGCACCACAACTACTGAACCTGTGCTCTAGTGCCGGGAACCTAGCTACTGAGCTCACATGCCTTGAGCCCAGACTCTGCAATAAAGAGACGTCACTGCAAACAAAGAGTAGCCCCCACTCACCGCAACTAAAGAAAGCCCATGCGCAGCAACGAAGACCCGACGCGGCCAAAAATAAACAAATAAATAAGTAAGTAAATAAATGTATAATTTAAAAAAAGAACACCCAAGTCTGAGTCCTTTCAAAATAAAAAATTTTTAAAAAGTGTTTTCATTGATTAATTCAGTATTCTTTTTTTTTTTTAATAAATTTATTTATTTTTAGCTGTGTTGGGTCTTCGTTGTGGCGCGCGGGCTTCTTACTGCAGTGGCTTCTCTTGTTGCGGAGCACGGGCTCTAGGTGCACAGGCTTCAGTAGTTGTGGCTCGCGGGCTCTAGAGCGCAGGCTCTGTAGTTGTGGCACACGGGCTTAGTTTCTCCACAGCATGTGGGATCCTCCCAGACCAGGGCTCAAACCCGTGTCCCCTACATTGGAAGGCGGATTCTTAACCACTGCGCCACCAGGGAAGTCCCTCAGTATTCTTTTTAACACACCTGCTAAGTGACTCCTATCACCTAGTTCTAGGTGATAAGAATATACAGTGGTGAGTAAAGCAGGTATGATCCTTGTTCTCACAGAGTTTAAATCATGGTGGAAGGAGATAGACAGTAAACAAGTAAACTAATAAAAGAACTGATAGTGAATCGTGCTATGAAGAAAGTAAAATGTTAATGTGAGAATAACTGGGAGGGAATGTATTGGTTTTGATAAAACCTGTCTTGTTATCCCAAGATCTCTTTGGTTTTTCCCTGTTCTCAAAAACACGTTTGTGGAGTCCTCTGCTCTTTGGAGAGCTGGTAGCAACATTGAGTGGAGGCACCACGATCCCCAGTCATCTGGGCCAGAAGCAGCACACACCCCATTTCTATTCAGATCTATTTACAGGTGTTCATAAGATGAATAAGGCCTACTGCCCCATCAGAAGGCTCATGTTCCCATCAAAGGACTCGCCTTCCAGCAGGAGAGAGAGAGACAGGTGAACTCACCATTGTAGTACATTGTGGTGATTGCTGACCTAGAATGCAGAGCTAGGAATAGATGTGGCACAAGGAACTGTCATTGATTTTGGAGGTGGTGGGGGTGGATCAGAGAGGGGGAAACTGAATCCAGAGATCTGTCTGCCCCTCAGAAGTGTTGATAATTCTGCATGAAAAGTCAGATAACAGCTATTGCTACTACTAAAAACAGCAAAGATTGGATACTTACTCTGTTCTGGGCTGTGTTCTAAACATTTTATATTCACTGTCTCATTCAGTCCTTTTATCAATGTAATGAAAATAGGTACTGTCATTCTCATTTTATAGATGAGGAAATAAAGGCTTAGAAGCCAGCATAGGGCTTTTTCCACTGAAATAGTCTACCTATACCAGGTAGAGCTCCAGAGTCAATAACTCATTCATTCAATAAATAGTTCTTGAGGACCTATTATGTACTAGGTCTGAGTAGACAGTAGTCCACAAAGCAGCTTTGGAGCTTGCCTTCATGGAGCTTCCAGACTGACAAATACTTTGAGAGTTTCTTCTCTGGGGCTTCCCCAGGCGCAGACTTCTGTTGTCTCCAGCCTTTATTCTACTTGCGGGGAAGCCATGGTATGTGGAGTATTGGTCAAACCCAGACCTCTCCCCAACCAGATGAAAGGAATTGAGGGTGGGAGGTGGAGATGGGTCTTGAGATTAGGGCCTGAGAAGCCAGAGGAGCTACTTTCCCATAGTTCTGAGTGTCCATCCTGTGGCCACTATGAGTCTAAAGCAACTTATTGTACGCCAGCCCGTCCAGCCAATCAGATAGCAGGTATTTATTGTACACCTCATGATAACAACATTGGGCAACTACCAAGTGCAGGGAAGTGTCATAAGCATTTTGCAGGCATATCCTGTTTGATCCTCACAGTCGCCCCCCATTGAGGTCATCATCATCATTGTTCACCTCTCACTGACAGATGGGAGTGAGTGCCTGCCCAAAACAGTCAAGACTCAACCCAGGTCTGACCTCAGAGCCTGACTCCACTCTTAAATGCATGATATTCATTCATGCATCATTTAGTCAGTGACTGCTTAGCTGCAGCTATGTGCCAGGCACTGCCCTGGGGGCTACTCTAATCAATAAGAGAAAATCCCTGCTCTCTCAGAGTTTACATACTAGGGGGGAAAGACAGTAACCATGTAAGTAAACAAGATGATTGCAGATAACAGTAGATACTATGACGAAATTAAAGCAGAGTCATGGGATCTGGGGTGCCTGGGGTTGTGTGTGGCTACTCTGGAAGGCACTGTCAAGGGAAACCTCCAAAGTTGACCATTGAGCTGAGGCCTAAGTGATGAGAAGCAGCCAGCTATGTGAAGCTCTAGAAGAGTGTCTGGGACGAAGGCAAATGTAAAAAAAACCATTGAGGTGGGAGGATTTGGTGTGTCTGACGAGCCAGAATTGGGCAGTGTAGCTAGAGAGAAGAGTGAGGTGACTTCAAGGAATAAGCAGGGCCAGACTGTTGGAAGGAGTTTGGAGTTAAGTGTAATAGGAAGCCCGTAATGGACGTTAAAGCAAGGGAATGGCAGAATCTGGATCATGTTCTTAAAAGACCACTCTGGGGAATTCCCTGGCCATCCAGTAAGGTTGGGACTCGGCGCTTTCGATGCCGGGGGCCCGGCTTCAATCCCTGGTCCGGGAACAGATCCCGCAAGCCATGCGGCACAGCCAAAAACAAAAAGACCACTCTGGCCCCACCATCCTTCCCGGTGCTCAAGCTGCAGACCTGGGAGAGCTCTATCCTATCGTCATAAAACTGCCCAGTCTTCCTTTTAAAGATCTTCTCAAGCCATCTGCTTCTCACCTGACCAGTACTCTGGTCAGGATCACCATCTTCTCTTGCCAGTATTCCAGAACAGCCTCTGAACTCCTGTCTCCCTCCCATTCTCCAGGCACACGCAGCACTTTGCTGCCTTGGAGTTTTGCTTTTTGCCTGTCAACATCCTGTGCTTTCACAGGTCAAGGTTAAAAGTTGCCTCCTGTGTGAAGTCTTCGCTGGCTCTGCCCCAGCCCCATGTAATTGTTTCTTTGGGCTATATCTCTGTGGCTTTTGCCTCCACCTCCCAGCAGGCAGCCTTCAAATCAGCACGTGGCTGCTGGCCCTGGGAGTCCTTTTTTCTTTTTTTCCTTGTGAGTCCTTCTTAAACTGGATCAGTCTCTCCAGCACCTAGTTCCTGTAGAGCCATGGTTCTCAGACTACAGACAGATCTGGAGTTCCTATGCATTTTGCATATCAGGGTCCAACTGAGATTTGGGTTTTTCTAAATAAATGCCCATGGCTTTTAAAAATTCAAACTTTCGACTTCCCTGTTGGCGCAGTGGTTAAGAATCCACCTGCCAGTGCAGGGGACACGGGTTCTATCCCTGGTCCAGGAAGATCCCACATGCCGCGGAGCAACTGAAGCCTGTGCGCCACAACTACTGAGCCTGCACTCCAAGGCCCGCGAGCCACAACTACTGAGCCTGCGTGCCGCAACTACTGAAGCCCGTGTGCCTAGAGCCAATGCTCCTCAACAAGAGAAGCCACCACGATGAGAAGCCCGCGCACCACAACGAAAAGGTAGTCCCCGCTCGCCACAACTAGAGAAAGCCCGCGTGCAGCAACAACGACTGAACACAGCCAATAAAAATAAAAATTAGAGTTGAAAACAAATCAAACTTTCAGTTCCTGGAATGCATCGTGCTTTGTCCTGATCTCTACCCTTGCACACATTGTTTCTTCATTGTTTCACACACACGCTGGCTTAAGTGCCCCCCAACACTTTTTAAAAAACTTTTTAAGCCTTTTTTTTTTTTTTTTTTTTTTTTTTCCGGTACGCGGGCCTCTTACTGTTGTGGCCTCTCCCGTTGCGGAGCACAGGCTCCGGACGCGCAGGCTCAGCGGCCATGGCTCACGGGCCCAGCCGCTCCGCGGCATGTGGGATCTTCCGGGACCGGGACACGAACCCGTGTTCCATGCATCGGCAGGCGGACTCTCAACCACTGCGCCACCGGGGAAGCCCTAAAAAACTTTTTAATTGAGGTATAACATGTACCATAAAGTGTAAAAATCTTAAGTATACGGCTCAATGAATTTTGCATGTGTGTGCACTCATGTCACCCAGGTCAAGAGAGAGGATGTTTCCAGTATCCATTGGGCTCCCTTGTGCCAGTCAGTTCTGCCACAGAAATAACCCCTCTTCTGCCCTCCAGCGCAATAGATTAGTTTTGCCTTTTCTTGATCTTCACATAAACAGAATAATATGCATGCACTTTTGTGTAAGTTTTCTTTTACTCTGCCGTGTATATGTGAGAATCCATGTTGTGCGTAGCAGTTTATTATTTTTCATTGTTTCCTACTATTTCACTGTATGACTATACCCCAATTTACTTACCCGTTTTACTATTGTTGGACATTTGGATTATTTCTAGGTTTTTTTAATCAACTTTATTGAGATATAATTCACATACAATAAAGTGCATACATTTTAAGTGTGCGGTTCAGTGAATTTTGACAACTGTTGTTTCCAGCTATTTTTTAATAAAGGTGCTGTGAACATTCTTGTCCACGGCTTTGGTGGACACAAGCATTTGTTTCTGTTGGGTGTATACTCTGAAGTGGAATTGCTGAGGTAGAGGGTGTGGTACCAGTTTTCGAAAGCTGTGGAAACTCTCCCAGCAGCAGTGAGAAGAGAGTTCCAGTTGCTCCGCCTCCTCACCACACTCAGTGTTGCCGTCCTTTGAGTTTAGCTGTTCTGTGGGCTGCACCGATTCCCGGCTCTGCTGTTCACTTTCACTTGCCCCACTTCTGTACTTCCCCTCCCGCTGCCGCCACCCTAATGGACACTTACCACACAACGTTATATTCATATGCTGTCACTCTGGATGGAGTGTTCCCAGCGTCTGTCTGACCAGCTGAAAGACACCCACAAGCTCTGCCCTTTCCCTGTCCTTTTTTTCACAGGTGGTTTTTCCCCATCATTGGCCACATGGGCATCTGCACATCCACAGGAGTCATTCGGGACTTTGCGGGCCCCTACTTTGTGTCGGTGAGTCCCCATTCTGCCCCCCTCTGGAGGGTTCCAGGGCTCAAGTGGAAAGCTAGCCTATCTTGCCCACAGGCAGCCTTCCTGTCTCCCCAATATGCAGGAGAATGCAGATGCCATGCAGTCCTGGTCCGGCCCTCTGCTTCTCACCAGTGTTTGACCCCTTTCCCCTTTCTCTTGCCTCCAGGACAGGCCAGGAGGGCAGTGTGGCCAGGATTCTTAAGTAACTGACCCAGCCCTTTGCCCACCCCGGGGGGTACCAAGACATGGGTAGGGTTAGAGGCAAGAGTGGAGAGTCAGACCATCCTGGTTCCTTGGTCCAGGAACCAAGTGTCTGGACCTTCAGAAGGTGGGAGTCACAAGGCGGGGGCACAGGGGAGGCTGACGTGGTTCCCTGGGTGTGGCCATGGAGAAGAGGGGGCGGACCTTCTAGAATGAACCAGCTGTGCTCTCAGGTCTGTTCCCTGGGGATGTGCCCGAGGTAGGGCAGTAGGCTTGCGCCAGGTGAGCAGGCAGCATCCTGCCTATTTCGAGTTGCAGCTTCCTCTCCGTCAGGCTGGGGTGAATGGGTGTGGTGGCACCAGCCTGCTTATGTTCATATTTGTCATGATCATCTTAACACCACAAAGGTCTTTCATACCCATTACTTTCACTGCCATATACGTGTATGATAATTCATCTTTGACCAGCTCTGTCAGCAGATTCTGAACCCAGAATCTGTCCCTTTGTAACTCCTGTACCCCACATCTTGTGTGGCAGGTCTAGGACTTGGCTAAAACATCCCCCTCATAGCAGGCCTCTTGAGGCCCAACCGCTGTGTCTAGCCCACTCACCCCAACCCACCCCACATCCTGCTTTGACTGCAGTCACACTGCCAGATTCTGTGTGGGCCACCACTGTCGGGTCAGGAGGTCAGAGGTTGTCCTCATTCACGCCACGAAGGAGACCACTCCCCTGTGGACAAAGACCAGAGATTGACCAGAGAACCTGGAGAAAACAAGGCCCAGAGAGGGTGAGAGAATTACTTGGCAGCCACAGAGAGAGGCAGTCATGGCTGTACCCCAAGTCTTTGGTCTCCAGGTGCAGTGCTCTGTGCACTCCTGCCACACTGCCTTCTTCACACAGAAGAGCTGCTGCTGGCCCTTCAGATATCCCGCCAACCCCAGAGCAGGGCCCGGGCTCCACTTCTGCCTACCCACCTTACCTCCTTCTAAGTCACGACACTTCCACCACCATCCCAGGTCTGTCTGCTGGGCTGGATGCGGGCTCCCCACTGACCTCTGCTCTTGTCCCTCAACAGGAAGACAACATGGCCTTCGGGAAGCCTGCCAAGTAAGTGATGAACATCCGTGTGATTGGCCCTAGAGCCAGGTTCTTCCTACCTGGAGCAGCAGGCCAGGCCTTCTGGGGCACAGCAGGAGCCAGCAGCCTGAGGATGGGGTGAAGGGGGGCAGCCAGGGTCTACCAGAGCATCTGACCTTGTACCACACATCTCCTGCTCCAGTCCCTGGCTGGGTCCTTTATCCACGGGCCATCTAGGCCTTGCCTCAGCCCTGCAAGGTCGTGTTGTCAGCTCCTTCGGAAAGGTGAAGATAAGGAAGGGACTTGGTCAAGATCACACAGGAAGTGGCAGAGCTGGGACTCACATGCAGGTCTGTCTCACTGCAAAACCTGGACTCTTTCTCCTGCCCCTCAAGGAACAAACACACCATTTAAGGTGTGAGGGAGGCATGGTTTGGAACTCTGCTGGAAAGTTCTGGTTGGAGAGAATAAAGGCAGTTTAGTCTCTCCTGGAGCTATTGCTGGTTTGCATGGGGTTTGGGGACTTCATTTTTTCTGTCTTGGGGGCCCACCTCAGTTGTGGTGACAGTGCCTCAGTCTTCAGTCTGCTCAGAACAGCATCAGATGCTCTGTTGCCCAAGGCAGCATCCAGGAGGGTGGAGCCCAAGGAGGAGTTGGTGTCCCACACAGCATAGGCAGCCTGGAGCTGTGCTCTCCAAACCCTGCTGACTCCCTCAGGCAGGTGGAGATGTGAGCCAGGGGCCTCTGGTCTGGGTGTCTGCTGCCAGACTGCTCCTCAGCGAGAGTTGTAAGGACACCCGTTTCCAGGCAGGAACCCCTGAGCAGCTGAAGTCCCGGCCACAGTGGTTTCTCACTGGTCCAGTCTGTAGGCTCCTCTGTCAAGCCATTCCCCACATAGCAGCCAGAGGGCGCTCTGACCTCCCAGTGCCCCCTGGCCCAGACCCTTTGGGGTGTCACCCAGCTTGAGGTTCACAGACTTTAGCTCCACCAGCTATTCTCCCATTCACCCTAGTCTCCCACGTGGGGAGATGGGGAGAATGCTTTCTGATGGATGAACTCCTCAGGATGACCTTCAAGTCCCCCAGAACATGGCCCCCCTGCATCTCCAGCCTCACCTTCCAACATCCCTCACCCCGTTCTTCCATCTGAATCCCCCAGCAGTGCCCAGTTTCTTAATTTCTGGTACACACTGCACAGTTCTGTGCCTCTTTCTCTGTTCAAACTGTTCCCTCTCCCTAGAATATTCACTCCCCATTCTGCGCCTGGCTAATCCTTCCTCCTTCACACTGGACTCGTGTCACCCCCAGGAAGCCCCTCACATCCCCACTGAGTGAGTTCATATCCTCCCCAGGATCCACATGGCGGTGGACACTGTTCCAGTTGTCTGCTGTGTGGCCCTTTCCCTGGACCTGGCTCACCCCTGTAGCCTCAGCACCCGGCTCAGGGCCCTGCACAGAGCAGGCGTCAGGGGACATTCATGGAGCTGAGCCAGTGCCCAGAACCCCTTCTCCCCCCTCAGGTACTGGAAGCTGGACCCTGCTCAGGTATATGCTAGCGGGCCCAACGCGTGGGACACGGCTGTACACGACGCTTCTGAGGAGTACAAGCACCGCATGGTAGGTGGGCCACTCCTGAGGGCGGGAACGAGGGTGGGAGGTTTCCCCGCAGCCCATCCTGACCCAGCCCATCCTGCATCTCCAGCACAGTCTCTGCTGTGACAACTGCCACTCACATGTGGCCTTGGCCCTGAACCTGATGCGCTACAACAACAGCACCAACTGGAACATGGTGACTCTCTGCTTCTTCTGCCTGCTGTATGGGAAGTACGTCAGGTGCGCTGCCTGTCCCCCTGGCCGCCGCCACCCTCCCCGGGACCGCTCTCCCACGGATCCCAACGGGGCCATTTCTGGGGTCCTTCAGCCAGCAGGGACAAAGCAGGAAAACAACGAGCTGAGCTCCTGGTGGAGAGGGCGGTGCTGTCTGAAGCCCAGCTCTGTCCCTTGTAGCTGAGCTCCTGGTGGAGAGGGCAGTGCTGTCTGAAGCCCAGCTCTGCCCCTTGTAGCTGAGCTCCTGGTGGAGAGGGCGGTGCTGTCTGAAGCCCAGCTCTGTCCCTTGTAGCTGAGCTCCTGGTGGAGAGGGCGGTGCTGTCTGAAGCCCAGCTCTGCCCCTTGTAGCTGAGCTCCTGGTGGAGAGGGCAGTGCTGTCTGAAGCCCAGCTCTGCCCCTTGCTCACTGTGAGATCTTGGGTAGCTGCCTTGGCCTCTCTGAGCTGCAACTGTCCCTGGGAAAATGGAGATAATGATTCTGGCTCCTCAGGGATGCTGCGTGTGCACAGAGCCCTGTGCTCAGGTCCAGTGAACAGGTGGACTCTCAGAAGAGGATGGGTGACCCCATAGGGTCCCCTCCCAGCATCCCTCATCAGAGGCAGGGTTCTGGGCGGGTGGGCCCCAGTGGTGGCCTGGGAGGACCTTTAAAGTCCCCACCTCATGACTTATGAGGTCAAAGGCCTTGGTCCCAATTCACAGATGAAGGGAGCTCAGAGAGGTGGAGTGACCCGCCCACCGGGGAGCCAGCACACACCTGGGCTAGCCCGGCTGCCTCTCCAGGCTTTCTTCCAGCTGTGCTCATCATTAAGCGCTTCTGAAAAGCAGATTGTCAGGGTCTTTTTTGGTCCAAAGGCTTTTAGAGGTCTCCTGGGAAGACCTTGTCTGTGGTCACACAGAGACTGAGGCAGAGGCGGGGTCGAAGCGGGCTGAGCCATAGCCCGGCGCTAACTCTCACCGACCCCTCCCCGCCCACTGCACTGTGAGCAGAGGGCGCTCCTGGCTTCCCCACCCAGACTGAAGACTTCTGGTCCTCTCGCTGGCGACCTCTCCCCAGACACAGGGGCGATCGTGGATGGAGTCAGGAAGGCCCAGAGGGTGGACGTGTCTCCTGTACCCACCCAGCGAGGTGTCACATCTCCACCAGGAGCCTGGAACAGCCCCTGCCCAGGACCGTAGCTGGTGCTCCTCCACAGCGGGCACCAGGCCTAACCCAGTCCCTTAGTTGACTGAGTTTGGGGCTGAGGGGGGTAGTTCCAGGAGCTTCCTTGTGGGGAGCGGTCCCGTCTGGGTTTGTGGGAGGACAGTGTGCTGGACCACACGCCCACTCACTGGCCCCTTCCCTCCCATGCTCCCCTCTCTCTCCATCAGCATCGGCGCCTTCGTGAAGACCTGGCTGCCCTTTGTCCTCCTGCTGGGCGTCATCCTGAGCGTCAGCCTGGTCTTTAACCTGCGGTGATGGCTGCCCCATGGCCCTGGGCCCGCCAGGCTCCTGAGGAGGCCGCCGCCATAACCTTTTGTTGCAGATTCTTCCTCCTCGCCCCGGAAGGCAGGGATGGGCCTGCTGGTTTGGGCCCAGGGGTCTGGGCTCAGTGGGGTAGGATAAGGGCTGAGGATGAGCATGGGGTGGAGGTGTTTGCATTTTGTGTCTCACTGGTCGCTCAGAAGCTCCCTGCCCCCTCCTTCCCAGGCTTGTGACTCCCACCCTTGAGGCACCCTTTGTTCATCTGTTGGAAAAGCCTTAGCTTCCCTCTAGAGCTGTGTCTGCCACTGCCTGCTGGGCTCCCTCTGCCTCAGCCCAGTGCCTGGTGGGGGAGGGAAGGATATTTGGACCCACCAGACAAGGCAGCACAGGGAGCAGAGCTGGATTTGAAGCCCATTCTCCTGCCAGGACTCTGGTCCCAGGGTGGAGGTACACCAAGAAGTCTGCATAAACTCAGCCACCCTGGGGCCTTCTCCACGGGCCTCTAGAATGGTCCAGTAGGGCTGATGGGCCCCCTTCAGATGTCTGCCAGAAGCTGCACTAGGGGTAGTTTGTGCCCCGCTCCTGGCGGCCGCCAGCCCGTGCAGCCCCCTCTTCCCGCTCACCCAGGGCCTCCAAGTACTTGGGTCCATCTCCCCCCTGCAGTTTGGGGCCTGGGCTCCCCCAACCAGGCTGGAGAGATGAGTGACACTGACGTATCCAGAGTGACCCCTGCAGATCAGAGCAATGTAACAAAGCTTGTCCTTGGCCCCAGGTACGGGCCTCGCACTGGTGACGGCACCCCTTGGGTCCGAGATGTCGGGGGGCCGTCGGAGCATCCAGCGCCATCAGGGAGCTGAACGGGAGCTGTCTCCTCCCGCCTCCCACGGCTCCCCCTTCACTTCAAGTTGTGGGACAGGCCTGTGCTGCCCCCCTCACCCCTGCTCCACGGATTCCTTTGTGCGGGGCTCCTGGGCAGGACAATAAAGAGTTTTAACTCCAGACCGTGCTTGTCCTTGATTTCTCCCTTCGGTGGTCCCTGGTTTCACTGAAGACATGCGCTCCCTTCAGCTCCTATCTTCGTGGTGAACTTGGGTTCCTCTGCCCCTGGCAAGGGGTCTGGTTGCCAGGGACATGGTTGGGTCCTCGTCCAGGGCCTGGAGCTTGCAGGAGCCAGCATCCCTCGGGTGTATCCTGCTCTGAGCAGGAGCGCTGCGAGTTCTCCACGCCTCGTCCACCATCCCAAAGCTTTCTCCTTGAGGCAGGCGAACATTGAAACCCCTCCCATATTCCCTGTTGGGAAGAACTTGGCAGTAGGATTGGGAGTCAGTGCTGACAGACCAGGGCCCTGGACCCGGCCCCCACTGTATCCACTGATCACGTTGCCAAGCTCCCCGTGCTCACCCCCAGTGATCCGGTCGCTGCCCTGCTCCGTGGTGCCTCTACTCCATGGCCCTCGGGACCCCGCACTCTCACTCTCCACGCATCCCACTCTCTACCCAGATAGGGCAGCACCTGCTCTCCAACACCCACCCACTTCTGGTCCTTTGCTTCCCACCTGTTGAAGTCATGCCCTTCCTTCTCAAGGCCCAGCTTAAAAGCCACTGCCTTGGTGAAGTCTTTCCTAACCTTGCCCTATGCCGGGTGTCACTTTAGTTGAACTAGCAAAGGATTTGGTCTCTGAATCCTGAGAGCCCTTTGTGTTCACCCTGAGGATGGCCTTGGGGACAGCTCTAGCTGCGGCCCTCAGGGCCCTGGATCAAGTGTCCGTCAGCTCATCCCAGACGCCTGGGGCTTCTCCAGGGCATGACAGAGGTGGCCCCTCCTCTCTTCAGAGCAATTCCATTTTCAAAAATCTGTTCTGCCTATGGGTCCACCTAAGGGTTGGGGTTAAATTCTGGTATGGAGGGCACCACAGCCAAATGGACAGAAAAGCTTTAAGGCCTGTTTTCACCCAGTAGAGCTTTAAAGCAGCCGTGTGGTGATGGGACATAACAGCTGCCATAAGAATCACCAAGTTACTGAGTGCTCACCACGTGCTGGTAAAGTACATCATTTATCCTCACCACAGGCCCATGAGGTAGGTGCTCTCATCCCCATTTTAAGATGAAAAAAAGCACAGAGAGGTGACGTGGCCTGCTCGAGGTCACAGGGGTAGGAAGAGTGGAGCCATGTCGAAACCCAGCAGCCAGCCTCCAGAGCCCCCATTCGGAACCACCCTGCAAGGTGGTCCCACTGGAGCACACGAGAGAAAGTGGGGTGGGGCTGTGACCGACAAGAAGGGAGAGTGGGCGCTGGAGGCAAGAGAAAGGAATCTCCTTACGACAGTCCCAGGGGGTGGCTGCCGTTGTCCCTGCTTCATAAATGGAGAGAGTGAGGCTTACAGAGATTGTCACTGATCCAAGGCCACAGGCCATGTGGCAGAGTCAGAATTTTAACCAGGCCTGGGAACTCTTAGCCAGGGGGTGTTGCCTGGAGACCAGCCGCAGTGCAGAGCATCAAGGCCCTGCAGGGGTTGCGACGGGTGGGGAAGGCATTCTGCAGCTGAGGAGCTGGGAGCACAAATGGGTCTGGGTGTTGAAGGGACAGGAAGCAGAGCCCGTAGGTAGGGCTCTAAGGACGTAGGAGACAGGAAATGAGGAGCAGCCAGAGCTAGGCAGGGCCCCGAGGGTTGGGTTCAGAGGGCAGGCAGCCCAAAGGATGATGGACTGTCTTGGGAGGTGAGACTCCTGCTGGTTTGGAGTAGATTTGGTAAGGGGTCAGGGGGTTCCCCTGGTTGTCTGCTGGCACCTTCCAAAGCTGAGGAATGACAGATAAAAGTGGGATGCTGAAAGGGCCCTCTGACAGCTGTGCAATAAAGGGCTGGGGCGGGGTGGGGTGCTGAGTGTGGAGGCCAGGAGACAGGGAGGAGGAGGCTTCCAGGAGAGGCTGGGCAGGGACTGAAACCTGGGCAGTGGGAGGGTGGCAGAGGTGGGGGACAGATGGGAGAGAGTCCAATGAGTGGCAGCAAGCATTAGGAGGCCTGGGGGCCAGGTCATGAGGGGTGTTCACAAAAGTGGAAACTTGGAAATAGGAGAAGGTTTCAGGTGGGGAGGACACAGAGGAGTTGGGGTTGAGAAGACAGCAGGAGAGGGGTCCAGGAGAGTCACAGAGGCAAGGACAGGAGCTGGACCTTGGGCTGGGGGTGGAGGAGGGACCCTCAGGGGCTCCGAGTGGTGGTAACCTTCTGAAGCCACTTCCAATGCTGGGGAGGAGGAGTGGGGTAAGTCCACTCCTTATCCACCTCCCCTCTTGGGGGTCTGTGAGGTGCCCTCTGATCTTTAAGCCATGGTGCAGGTGGGGCAAGACGGGCGGATTGAAATGAAGCAGACTTGGGGGCATCTGGAAGCTCTGCTGTGGCCTCGGCTCATGGTCCCAAAGCAAATGTAATCCAGGGCCCAACCTATTCTCAGGGTGGGGAAGAATCTGGGAGCAGAATGGGGGGTGCTCAGAGGGGCTCCCCACGGACAGAGGGAGGGTATGGGAGCCTCATTTTGGCCCTGGAAGAATCCAGGCCTCCTCAGACAGATGGGGCCCAGGGTGGCAGAGGGGACAGAGGGCAGCTCTGCTGAGGCCAGCACTTCCTAGGAGGCATATGTGGACATGGAGGGGACTCTGTTGGCCCGGGAACACCTGGTACCTCCTATATGCCAGCTTGTGCCAAGCACTTTCATTTCCCTCAGAGGCTCTTCACACTCTGCTGCCTGCAGTCTGCACGGGAGGAAAGTGCCGCTCAGAATTGTTGAGAGACCTGCTTAAGGTCACACAGTGGCACAGCAGGAACTATTCGGGGTTGTCTGGCTGCAGTCTGCAATCCTTCCACCACCCTGGTTCTCAGAAACGTTTCTAACTTTGCTTTCAAAGCAAGTTCCTATCAGCTCCTTAGTGGGCAGGGTGGGGCTGCTACCCATTCTACAGATGGGGCAACCAAGGCTCTGAGGGGTTGGGGCCAGCTCGAGTCACAGGAGTTACAGAATAAGTCTGCAGAGGAGCTGGGGCCAAGCCCCAGGCATCTCCTACCCACCAAACCTGCTCTGGGGTTGCTGAAAGCCCAGGCTGCGCCCCTGGGGAGCCAGGAGTCCAGGCCCGGTTTTGCATCAGGCCCTGTGAGAAGGTGTTTCCTCCTCCTCAGTGGGGCAGCCACTCCGCTGGGCCGCCGGTTGAGTCAGCCTTAGGCCCTCACTGCTCTTCTTCTGGTCCCTGAAACTCAGCTGCCAGGGAAGCCGGGGTTACCCGACGAAGGTGTCCCCTCCATACTGGACCCCTACAGGTAATACACCTCGGGGCCAGAGGGCCCCTGCCAGTGTCCCGAGGGGTGGGCACTGCCACCTGGTGTCCTGAGCACCCTGTAGGACCCAGGGGTCGGGGAGGTGGGACGTGTCTGGGGCTGGAACAGCCAGACAGATGGACAGACCCTTAAACTGACCAATGGGTCTGTCCCATAAGTGTTGAAACAGAGTGGGGAAGACCAGACACTGGATTCTGCCTCTGGAACCAGAGGGGACTGCAGGGAGGGGTGTGCTGCTGGGGACCCTGGGCTCAGATACCCACAGCCCAGCCCAAGCAGACCTCAGGACAAGGGCGGGGAGGGTCAGTTCTGTGGAACGTCCCTCCACCTCCATACTCATACACACACATCTGGTGGTCCCCAGGGCATCAGAGTACACACCACAACACACAGCCCAGTCACACATGTGCACACACCCCACCGCGCTGTCGCCCAGAAAGTCACAGAACATATCACACAGACGAGAGTCCCCCATGCAGCACCACACTGTGACATGACGCCCAGACACACACGCAGTGATACAACATTCACACCCACAAAATAAACAGCCTCCCAAATCCCACAGTCTGCAGACGCCTGCTGAACAGAGACTCACAGTGGCACCGGGTAACACAGGGGCAGCCACACAGGCTCACACACCAGGCCCCAGAAGAGCCCTAAACAGTGCGTCTGCAACACCCGGGACCTGCACACAGTAGATGTTCAGGAAATGCTGTTAACATCCGTCACACAGGCATTTCCACAGTGTCACACACGACACCCGATAGAGACACCCAGTCTCCCCCGGGTGAGAGTGGGGCAGCAGGGGGAGAGGGCTCGCTTGAGGGGTTCGCTGACTCAGCTGGGAGGGCACAGAGCGCGGGCTGGCGGCAGGCACAAGCCAGGACCTGCCCGCTGAGTGTCCTCTTCCCATCTCAGCCCTGCCTGGTGCCCCGGGAGGGAGGGGACTAAAGGGGCGGGAGGAGAGGAGAGACCGCCCAGTGGGCTCGGGCCACGGCTCTGCCCACGGCCCAGTCACAGGCTCCTTGCCACGTCCACACGCCCCTCAGGGCTGGGCAAATGTTTTCCTTCCGGAGTCACCGTGGTACCTTAGCTGCTTTGCAGCACTCGGCCTCCACCACCAGGTCCCACCCCAGCCAGGTCCTGGGTCAGGGCGTGGGGAACCCATGTGGCCAGAGTAAAGGGGTCCAGGGAGGGGCTCCAGGCCAGGGGGCAGGGCTGGCAGCAGGGGCAACCTTGGGCTGCAGGCCTCCGTGGGAGTGGGTGCAGCAGTTACCTCCGGGGGAGGAAGTTAGGCTGTGAGCTGGGGAGGAGGCTGCCTCAGACAGGAAGGCCAAATAGGCCAGAGCAGGGTGGAGGTGAAGGGTGGAGGTGAAGGGTGGAGGGAAAGGACCCAAGTCGGGAGATTCCCGGGGCAGGGTGGTGAGCAGATATGTGTGTGCACCTGTGTGTCCGGCTGCGTGTTCGTGTGTGTGCATTTCCCGTGTGTGTGCAGGTGCACGTATTTCTGCATTTAACTCGGCAAACTTTTACTAACCATCTGCTGTGTGCACGGTTCTGGCTTTGAGGATGAGGCTCTGTCCCTGACTTCAAGGAGCTCACAATCTAGTTTGGGGGATGCAGTATGTGTGTGCAAAAGTGTGTGTGATTTGTATATATCTAAGGACAGGTCTTTGT